TCTGCTGTGATATGTTTACAATGAGACTTCTGCTCCTGAACCTCTGTGCGCAGCGTCTGCAGATCAGGCTGTACGAAGTCACTTTCATCTTTACGCAGGACTGTAAGCTGTTGTCTGTGAGGCGTGAGCGTGTTTGTTTTCACATAGTTCACGGTGGAGCTGCTGATATAATGTGGATTTGAACATCCATAATCGGCCTACCTGGGGTCGAAAGTCTCGATAAATGCACGGCGTTTCGGCGGGTACACCGGCTTCCGCGAGTGTGACGCTTATTTTGAGCGATGAAAAAATAATAAGATATAATTTTATTTTTATATTTCACAATAATCTTCCAATTTAGAACTACAAGTTTAAAAAGAACTAAACACAAATAAAACACACTTCAGCTAAATACTAATTTATTTTCCCAAACCACGCGGAGCCGCAGTATAAGGACTAAAGAGCCGCAGGTTGCCGACCCCTGCTCTAACCCCTGCGAGTCAATCGTACAGTTTGAGCAGGAGCTGAATAACGCGACTGAAAAAGTCGCAGTGTCTGCCCAGCTTAAATGGACTTCCGGATCTCCACGCCTAATAAACGTGACTCGGCGTGGAGCACGTCACTGCTAACCAGCCACTGAGGAAGCCCGGATTTGGAGCACGTCAGCATGCGCGTTCAACAGTGCTTGTGTTGCATTCCAGTGCCGTAGGAAAGAATAGGACGACGGCGTATTAGTGGAAATGTGGAGATGACAGCTGTGGTTTCAGGACGAGCTGCTGTGTCCTCCATAAACGCCTCGTGTGAAACTAACTGATGTGGTGTGTAATACAGCATCGTTATTGTACGAGGCTGGAACCGCCGATAACCTCGCACCTGTCCATCACAAGACAACAAGGCACTCTGTAGAAATCCACTCTCCTGAGTTGGAGTCTTTGAGTCTGGGCAGCTTCTGCAGCGTCTCTTCAGCTCCTCCTGCTGACCGCCCCTCATTTATTTTATTACTTTAATCATTTATTTTCTCGGTGCTCTTTTTTCCATCGCTCCATGAACGCAGCCTGATCTGTGGGTAAGAGGGCGGAGCATGCGCACTGAGCCAAAGTGTTATGAAACAAAGTAGCACAGCAGCGGCTTGAGGTGCAGACAGTCAGAGGGACCCAGCGCGCAGACACTTACACCCCGGCACAGCTCCCCGCTCTGCCCGAAGACATGCTCCCGTCCCTGGGCCTCACATAGATGTCACCTCCGGGGAGCCAGCACAAGGTGAGCGGGTGGGTGCGGGTTGGGGGGAGACAGAGGTCGGCGTAAACAGCGCCACCGGTTACATAAGCTCCGCTCCGGTGACCCCGTTTCTGGGGCCGTATCGGGTGTGCCGTCCCGGGCAGGTGTGTGGGGGGTCTCCCCGGTGTGTGAGGGGCAGGTGGATGTGGTTTGGATTCGCACCGGTTTTATTCAGCCGGAGCTGCGCTGAGGCGGAGAGCCCATTCACAAAAAACTCCGTGACCTAATTTCCATTTGGAGAGTCCGTGAACGCATCTCAGCCTGTTGGCGTGCTTCAGCGTTTATGTTTTCATCTTCATCGCGTGTGAGGATGAGAAGTTCAGGCTGGAGCCGCTGGACACCCTGAAGGTCAGAAACGTCTGAGATCCGCCGACTAATCACAAGAGCGGAGCTTTGACCGCAGTCATCACAACCTGGATCCCAGGATTGATCCCGCAGCTGATCTCTGAACCAGCAGCTTCCTGTGCTGGCTGATCGGGGCTCGGTGTGCTGATGGTTTGATTGAGTCGGGGGAAAGTGGGTCAGTGGGAAGTTTGTGTTGTTGTTAGGAAGAAGTCGGAGCGGCGCTGCGGATTGCACAGGAGAAGGTTCGCCCCAGAGATGAAGCCGCACATAGTGCAGACCCGCAGCACAGCTGGAAAAGTTTACAGATCAGGCTCAGATTATAATCTCATAATATATATAATCTGTGTTTGGGACATCTGCAGGAACGTCTCCTCTGCTGCTGAGGAGGAGCAGCAGGAGCCCCGACCTGCAGCCCAGCAGCACCCTGGGACTGTCGTCATCATTGTTAATATTCTTGATATTGAAAGTGTGATGATGCTTAAAGCTGGGGGAGGGGTCAGCTTGGCTTCTGACCTCAATAAGTTTCAGCAGTTAAAAACTCAGTTTTGTCTTTGTACGTTTATTTCATTCAGCCTGCGTCAGTCTGGACTCACTGAGCGATGATTGGCTGCTCGGGTTTCCTGGTGTTTGGTCTGTATGTTTTTCATGCAGAACAGTAAAAAAACAAAACACTCAAAATATTTAAAAAACAAAGAAACACATTTTTGTAAAACTGTCCTCAGATGAGCCCACCACACTCCCACTCCTCTGAAGCGAGCCTCCAGCTGGTGATTGGCTGAAATATCTCCTCCACTGATGACACTGTTTACATCACAGGCGCCTCGCGTCTGTTTGCCAGCTTGTGGGCAGTCGCTCGGTGCCAGGCAAACTGACTGTCGTTGCTATTTCAGACGCCGCAGGGCCACAGAATGTGTCAGCGGACCTGATTGGCTGGTGACAAGTGCAACGAGCAGGTGCATCAAAGGTAACAGGAAGTCCTGAACGCCGTGGAGCTTTAGCAGCAAGCAGATAGCAGGAAGTGTCCTCCTCCCAGCTTATCAGCACCAGCGTGTTTCTGTGACAGGTGAACATTTCAAAAGAATGAGGTCACCTCATGGTGGGTGGAGCTTTCTAACACCTGAGCCAAATACAAGCTGTTCTCCTCTAAACTGTCCACACAGACAGAAAAGCTGAGGACACGGCGCCAAAAATCAATCAGAAAGCAGTGAATGATCAGGCTGGACGAGGTCAGAGCACCAACCTGGGTCACCTGACTCTGAACACCTGACCCAGAGCCGCACCTGAAAGTTCATTCTAAATAATGCCGTGTGTGTTAGGCGTGCAGCAAACGTCCAGGTGTGGAGACAACACCACACGCTAACCAGGCGTCCATGTCTCACAGCTCTGTGTGCTTCGAGGCGCTGAGTTGTTGTTGAGCGCGGCGAGTTCACCTTTGAAGACGAGCTCAGACGAAACAAAAGGCAGTAAAAGTCGTCCGCGCTGCAGGTCACCTGCTGCTTTGATGTTTCAGTAATCGGGTTAAGTTCTCAGCAGGTAAACACTCTGCTCGCCGTTTCTCTCGCAGGTGACAGATCCTGCGAGCACCTGTGGGACAGGTGCGATGGAGGGTCGGTGCTGTCCTTCAGCTCTTTAGTCTGATTGGTTGTAGAACTCTGTGATGAGTGAGCTGCAGTCACCGAGCTCAATATCAGATTATGAGGTACGACAGGAAGTGAGGAAACAGGAAAAGGTTTGAAGATTTTTAACCTTGTGCTTTGAGCTTGTTGTGACTGTTTCTACCCACAGCAGAAAATAAAAGCCGCTTCTATTGTGGGCCCATCCCACGCCACTGCTCGCCGAGATGCGCCTTCCACCGCTCGGTTCAGTAGACTCACCGAAGCTTCTTCCTGTTTCCTCTTTCCTTTCAGAATAAAATGGCCCAAAATTCCATCCACTGGTTCCGGAAGGGCCTCCGTCTCCATGACAACCCAGCTCTGCGGGAGGCGGTCCAAGGGGCGTCCACGGTGCGGTGCGTTTACTTCCTGGACCCGTGGTTCGCGGGCTCGTCCAACGTCGGGGTCAACAGGTGGCGGTAAGAGGATTTAAGTTACAATCAGATGATCAGTTATTAATCTGTTATTGAGTCCTATCAGGACGCGAAGTCAAGTTAACTGGACTTCAAATGATCTGATGCTGAGTTTAAAATGGATGTTTTTAAATAGTTTCTGTTTTTCCATCATCGTCTTTACTGAGAATCACGCGGCGAGAGAGCGGCGTGTCGTTTAGGAACACTTCATGCTTCTCTGCGGAGCATCGTCTCACTGCGTCTTCAGTAAATCATCTCTTTATCCTGATAACAGCAGAGGTGTTGGCATCATGTTGCTCGTTGTTCCGCGTGCGTTTGACAAACGTGTTTCCATGACGATCTGGTGGTCCTATAGTTATGAGCAGGCCGGTGCTGGGCGAAGCTGCAGTTCCTTAAGGCGCAGCATGATGTCAGCGTTCCTCTGATGTCAGTCACATGAGTTTTATTTAACGGCAGACGTTTGTTTTCCGTGGGTCGGTGGTCTCTCTGCGCCGGTTTCACCCGGAGACGCCCGCTCAGCTGCTTTCACAGTCGCTCACTTCTGCATAATCCCGGGAAAGGAGGTCAGCCGGCGCGATGAGCAGGTTACAGCAGAAGTAGGTTAGAGGATCGCTGTCCAGGCTGCGTGTGACCAAGCTGCCCGCCGTTCGGCTTCACGTGCAGACCGGCGGGGTTGAACTGCTATTTGTGGTCGCCGCGCAGCACGATCCACCCTGAAGGCAGTGACCCGCTCGTATCCAGCTGACTGCAGTGCTAAAAGTGTAAACTGGTCAGCGGTGTCGGCATCGGGACAGGAAGTGCACATGGGTGACGGTCTGACTGTTTCTCATGGATTTCCAGAAACGTCCCAGAAATTCCCGGACGGACATTTTTCATTCAAACTAATAAAAACGAATAAATATTAATAAAAGATGGAGTTTAGAGTTCACGCAGAAACTGCTAATGATAATAATTGCATTTATATAGCGCTTTACAACGCCACTATTCATTCACTCTCACATTCACACACAGGTGTAGCCACAGCTGCCCTGGGGCAGACAGAAGCGAGGCTGCCGTATCACGCCATCGGCCCCTCTGGCCAACACCAGTAGGCGGCAGGTGAAGTGTGTTGCAGGGGAATCAAACCGGCAACCTTCCGGTTACAGCTGAGCTTCCCAACGCCCTGAGCCACGGTCGCCCTGATAGTGTGTTTGATGCCAGTGAGACAGGTTTTATTCTTATTTTCAGACACCAGTTCTTAAAGCTGTCGTACTTTCCTGTTTGAATATTCACTTTATGATCGCGTGGCATCAAAGTCTGGCTTGAATCTGAGACAGGATGCAGGGACCTGGGATGAAAACCTGGAGAAGGATTCCCGGTGGGGCAGCCGAGGGAACAGCAGTGAGTTTGTGTTGTTACAGCTAAAATCTGCCTTTTCCTGCCATTTCTGTTCGTGTGACCAACAAACACATTTAAGGTTTTTCTGAGTCAGTCGTACGGGGAGCAGAAGGACTCGCAGGGTTGTGCTGCAGCTGAGGGGATGTGGACTCTGAAGGGAGGAGCTTATTATGCTGAGGTTTTGTTTTCGCGTCTTAAACTAAATCTGCAGACCGTGGCTTAGCAGTGCGCCGTCGCTGAAGCCTTTTATTATGAGCTGCTCCGAGCTTTAATGCTTTGGGAGAAGATGAATGAGAGCCAGCAGATGTCTGCTCAGCTGCTGTGACACCTGCAGCTCTGTGATGGCAGCCCATCATCCCATTAGCTTCCTTATCTTTACCTGAAACCTCGAGTCACACCAGGATTAAATGGCTCCGTCTCCTGAATGAGCATGTTTGAAAGTAAACGTGATGGAACAGAACTGAAGCTTTCTGTGTTCCCGACCCTCTGTGTGCTGCAGGACGTCGTATAGAGGTCAGAGACGATCGCGTTGGATAACCATACGCTGAAACCAGAGAGCGGCCTGAGATGTAGGTTACTGTTAACCCAGATCTAATCTGTGCTGCAAGCTTCACTTAAACAAGCCAGACTAAGCTGAAACGTCCTAAGATTTGACAGAATAAACACTTAAATCAGTTTTACAAACTTTACAGATCATAAAGGTTTTTATATTTTCCACCAATAAACACAGATTATAACAAACATGTGTCAATCACATATTTAAGAGAAGAAGCATCCTGTGCTCATAATTATACATGGATTAGCGTGTAATTATTCTCCCAACAAACTGATTCATTCAACGTATATTTAATATATGCAAAATACTTGGCAGTGTGTGGAAGCCGCCATGTTCCCCCAGCATATTTGAAGGACGTCTCCCTTCTCACTAATAACGTTGACCATCCAGCAGAGGTGATGGAGAAGAGAGGTCGTAGGCTTCATGTGCCATCTTCAGACTAAAGGATCATATATTTTAGTGTTGGATTAAGCGTCTTCAAGAAACTTGAAGTCCAGTCACTTTCTTTTGCAGCTCCTTAGACCCCCATGACCTGGATGACGAGCCTGCACAGACATCTGGATAAAACGTCATCCTCTTCACCTCAAGCCTCTTGAGCTGAAGTCAGGGGTCTAACACACAAAGTCCAGTTCAAACCTGCTCATTTATTTTCCATATTGTCACAATTACTTATTGTCTGCAGATTAGACATGTGATCCTCCCGTCTCCAGAGAGCCAGCTGAACAACCACTGCTGGTTACAAGCTAACATTATAGCAGCTAATATTCAGCTGTAGTATCGTAGAAGTCACTCTTTCCCCCAATAAACAGTTTGATTATATCCTCAAATCCTATGAAAATTTATTCAGTAAGAGTCCGAGTCCAACAGTTTCACTAAAGCCAGCTAACAGAGGCTAACGCTGGCTAACAGAGGCTAACGCTGGCTAACAGAGGCTAACGCTGGCTAACAGAGGCTAACGCTGGCTAACAGAGGCTAATGCTGGCCAACAGAGGCTAGCACGGGCGAACAATAGTGCTTACTGATTCAGCGAGTCCTCAAAAGCTCACCTCAGTATCGCTGTCATTGGTCAGAAGTGAGTTTAAGGTTTCAAGTTTAACGTGTCAGACTAAAACCTGTTTGTCCTGTAGCAGCCACCATAGCTTGAATTATGCACTTGAGCTGCTGAGAGATTTTACACTCTGTATGTTTAAGTGCTGTAGAAGAAGAGTCTGGATGTTTTGGATAACTAAAATAAAGCAAGTGTAAAAACGGAGTTAACCGCTCAGCTGCTGCATTTTCAGAGGGATGTCACAGCTGTACAGAGAAACACTGGATTAAATTCACTTTTGTAAAACGGTGAACGTTTCTCGCACTGTCTGCCTCCGCTTCACCAGCCTGCAGCGTCTCATTCACCCTGCTCCTCCGTGTCTCCTCTCCTCCTCTTCAGCTCACTTCTGCTCTGCTCCATATTTCACTCTTTATTGTTGGCATTGGTTCAGCTTTGCTTCCCCTGCTGCTGTGCTCAGCCAGGAACCCTCCGGCACATACATCCGGCACGACCCGTTCTGCAGCTTTCATTTAACTACAGTCCTCTTTGTGTTTATTAATCAGGCACAACTGGCTCATGTTAAAGTTCCCTTTAAATCTAAATGTGTGTAAAAAGTCACGCCATCCCTAAAAGTCCAGGATGTAAGTGGACAGTTTCGGGGGGGGGGTCTTCCTAAGATTAAATCTATAAACAGTAAAGAAAGTGTCACATTTTGTATATGGACTCATTTTTATGGATACGTTTCTGTTACAGGCTTTTATTTTTCTGATGATCATGGAGATTATACTCACATTACCATCATCCTCACAGTAACAGGCTCAGACACTTTCAAAGTCCTCGAACGTGCTCAAGTTTCCCGCTCGGTTCTGGTTCTGCTCGGTTGGCGAGGGACCGAAGACGCGGAGCAGTTAGCGTGCACCAGCGCCGTGTGAGTGCAGAGGCTGAGCAGTGGCCTGTTAATGTGGGACCAGATATTTTGCCACTTTCAGGGAAATGTGAGAGTCTGTGCAGACATGTAGGTTAGTGTGCCAGTGCGGTAAACTTATGAGCAGTTATGTGATGGTGACCTACATGAGGGGAGGCTTTCCCACGTGTTATTCAATCGTTCACACAGCTGATCGATGCTGGAGGAGCAGGAAAAGATAAAGGAGCATCAAAGTAAATAACAGTCTGTTAAACTACGTAAGCGTCGGGCATGCCGAGCATTCCCTCTGAGCGAGGCTGGCGTCTCCCTCTCCCTGATGAAGAGCCAACGAGCTCTACTCGTCAAACACAGCTGCCATACTGTCAAACTGGACTTGCTGCTTATGGGCTGTTTCAGGTCTGTGATGGTGCTCGTAGAGCTGGGCGATATGGCCTAAAACCATATCATATCTTCTGTAGAACGTATTTTACACACTATAAGGCGCACGTAAAATCCTTTAATTTTCTCAAAAATCAACAGTGAGCCTTATGTATGAATTCTGGTTGATTTTGTTGTACACGACACGCAGAAATCTGTCAAAAATGTTTCAGTATGACGTTGCTAAGCTACGAAGCCGCACCGTTTGGTTGCTTGTCGGAGCGTTACGGCTGCCGTAGTCTGGAGCCTCGCGGAGTAATCTGGGTCCTAAACTCCGTCTGTTTCAGGTCCCAAAGTCAGACGAACCCTGCGGCATCACTGAGAGTTACAAACTGTCTAAATTCTTTCATCTTTAATAAAATGATCAGCGTTGCTGCTTTACCGGCGATCGTGGCTCAAGAGTTGGGAGTT